CCCCAAAACCCCAAAACCCCAAAACCCCATCGAATGAGTCTATTTTAAATTAGGGCAGTAGTAACTTTTAATAAATAAGATAATAAGAGAAATAATCAATTTAAAGCTCTGTATAAAACAAAAGCTATCCTTAGATATGAAATGTATCAATCTAATTTTCAATAAGAATTGATATCAGTAAATCATATTTTAAGCGACTTGTGCTCAATGCTAATCTATAACATCAAATTCTTCACTTCTAATGTCCCTGATAACCATCTCAGCTACTTTAATATCCATTTAAAGAGCCGAATCAAGATCCTACAACTCATAGTCTTCAATTTTACTTTTGAAAATCTCAGCCATTTTGTTTGCAAAAGTACCTATTTTTAGTAGTTTGTATTTTATTTGATATTGCTTCAAATCACTTGCAATTTTATCTATGGTATACTAACAAGGACATCCTTCTGGAAAACCATCAATATTTCCACCTCCTGTATACTGTATTCCATGAGGAGGTGCATCAGCTATATGGAATATAAATCGTAATGATTTATCTCTCCAGTTCATCTTATGAATAGAATCATATAGACCATCAAGTACTGCCTCAGGGCCATCTCCACCACCTTTAGCTTCTAAGTCTTAGATGAATGCCAGAGCAGACATATAATCAGCCATGTTTTAGTATTTAGTTACATAAGTTTCATCTTCAGGAGGATGATCTCTATAAGCAACGAAACCAAACTAGATACTTCTCTCTCTGCATTCAGCAGCTCCCATTACATTGATCATTTCAATTATTCTTAGAATTGTGTCTATTGACTTATCAATATATGCATCCATTGAGCCAGTTGTATCACAACAGAAAACCACGTCAATTATATTAGTCAATATTATTGGGTGATCACAATGGAAAATGTGATTGCCATCGTGCCATGCCTTTCCTTCACAGAATTTCTTTTCATCCCCATGGGTTGAATGGGAACAGTAAAAGTTACATGATTAAATCTCCTCAAGAAGGTCAAGGGTAACTGGAGCTTCCCATCCATATGATTCCCAATAATTATAGCAGAGCCATTTATCGAAAACTTTGTCCTCAAAAGGATGATATTTTTCTACTGAGTGACTTACAAACGGATTCATACGGGCTTAACAGTTTTCTCCACCTAAGCACGGTTTTAAATGAAAGTGACTTCTTCCTTTTCTGCCACATGAGGATGAACAATTTTCAGGCAAACATGATTCACCAATTTTGTACTCTCTCCTTTTACCATCAGAGAAGATTGAAACAGTTTTCTTGCCTTAATTAGAAACGAATACACAATTCTCTTTATTTCTGTGAGTGTTTGTAGCATGATATCCATCGTGGTTAACTAATTTGTTACAAAAGCTTTTGCATTCAGGACATTAGTTTGAACATCTGTGTTGATTAAGTTTGCAGTTATGCTGGAGGTCACTATGATTCAAATGATACTTTTTAATTCTCTCATTACATTTCATTCTAGAATTTTGTGGTAAGAAATACATGTAAGGGAATTCTCCTAACTCATTTTTCCATATTTTTTCAATATTTTTAAATTCAATACTGCAAACTCCACTCTGTTCACACTATTCTTAACATTAATGATCATGGCCACAGACATGATAATTTAGGATTATTTATTTTTCTAATGCGAACTGTTGCTCTCCGAGTTCAAATTCATTAAGTTAGTAAATTAATTTTTCTCTATCATCATTATTTATTAGTTGCTGATGCAAATGATTAGGGAATATGCATTGCCTTTCGCAAAGACTACATTCATGAGTGCATCTTTCTTCTTCGCAATAATGTATATCATGCTCTTAAGTGATATCAAATCAACATGTTCTTTCGCAAATTTCATCTTGACATATAACTTAGCATTGATGCTTGTTACCGCATTGATGTGGCTCTTCCTATGAGTGATCAATTTCTTTTTAACAGAGGTGTTTGCAATTTTCAACTTAGCATAAACTTGAACATTTATGATTTCCATCATTGCATTAATGCTTACCCAGATGACCGTAGACACTCGTGCATAGATAATTCCTTTCTCTGCATTCAGGATTTACTTCGCAGAGGTCCTCGCATATATGGCCAGTGGAGCAATTACAGTTATTTTTATGACCCAGCTACAGATTGCAAACTCTTTTGCATTCCTTGCAAGTCTTTCTACAATAAAGCATTTTTAGAATAAACTGATCAAGTTGCTGCATTAATTTTTGCTCATAGTTTTCAATGATTTCTTTAAACTCTTCTTAATCTTAAAGGACCTGCTGATGGAAGTATTACTTGATTATCATCCTTCTTTGGTTCATGAATTCTTCCAAATACTATGAGAAACAGTTCATCCAATCATTATGGATTCTTTGAGAGTACTCGAGAGTTTGATCAATAAATATTTTGAAGAATTCAACACTTAGCTATGGATTATCATTATCAAATTCAAAAGTGTCTCCATCAGTTTATTGCAGCTGCATCTAATTTTACTATATCTAAAGTTTATGCACTTTTCCATCAATGGTAAACTCCTGCTCATAAATTTGTCCTTCAACTTCAATTTTGCGATCAAACTTAAAGAATAGCTGGATGCTTTGAGAATAAGATTTATCACAAGATAGTCTCATCTTATGAATATCCGTGTCGGTATCATCGTCTAAAAATACCTGTGTCAACACAATTTTTAAGCTTTCAGTCAAATCTCTTCCGTTAACCCATCTTTTATCATTCATTCTGAAGATATATAGATCTCTGAAATCTTTGATATCTTTGTTGAATTCTGGTTACTCAAAATAAACCATTGTTTTTGCCATTAGTCTGCCCTAGAAGATATGACTCAGGAAATTCTCTTCTTAGTTATCAGTATTTCCCTAGAGTTGCAATACATTAGATTGTAACTCGGTGAATGCTTGTTCTTGCTCTTTAAATGGCACATCTCTTATCATCATCATTAGGGACCCCTTAAATAGCTTCTAACCTTTGATCCTACCCATACTCTTTGAAAAATTTGTGAATAGTTAATTCAAGTGTCTACTAAAAGCAAGGTCTTAATTGAGGATCATCATGTCTGAGATTGCTGATAAAGTTAAACAAAGCTTAATTTCCTCAATTTAGTTTCTTCTGGTTGAAAAAAGGCCTTCACAATCTAAAACTAAAAATTATCTCTTAATTCCTAAAGAGTCTTTAAGTTCAACAAAAGACATCCATATACCGTCAGTGCATCTGGTTGCTGCTACATTGAATCTAGTACCGAATATTCTATTCATAACGTAGCTTTTACCTGAACTCTATCTTCCGACAATTGATACTACTTTAATATCGTTGGTAGTTGACATGAGGTAGTCTTCGTAAATTCCAAATCTTACCAAGTTTGTTACTCTTTCGAGTAAATCAAATTAAGCTTCATCAAACTGTGATGATGAGGATATCATGCTGTCTGCTATTTTATCCGAGATATTCTATCCATCTCTTAATGGCACTAAAGAAGAATTTTCGATTGTTGCCAAATGCAATGGAATTCTACTCAATAAGATAAACTTAAGATCAGATTTATCAATCGAATATCTAAAGTCTAACAATATTTTCTTCACCTTATATTCATTAATATTGTAACTTACTACCTCCAATCTGACATCATTTACTCTCAAGCTTTCAAAATATTGTTATAGATGATGAGGGTCAAACTTAGATTCATGATTCGCAAAAATAAGTCTAGTTTAAGAAGGACATCCATTTAAAGTGGAATGAGGGCCATATTTATGAATAGCTTGATATACATTATCTAATATTGGATTACCTTTGCTTTTCTCAACTTGATTATCATTATTGATTTAGTACTAGAATTACTTTGATGCTGTAAGACTTTATATTTAGTAACATTATTAAGTATCTTGGTAGAATATGATTAAGAAATGGCAATTTTTATCAGTAAATGTCTTGCAGAAAAGGAAATTTTATCTTTCAAATTCAATTTTCTTAACTCTATTCCAATTTTAATCAAAAATATCAATCTAAGTCTAAGCTTTCAGTATAATATTCTTGCCATCACTTATAACAAATATTTTTTCGTAATATTCATCACCTGTAGGTTTAATTTGTTCTTTAATAACTCCTATACCACCCTTATTATACTTCTTAAATATCTTGGTTAAATTTCTTTGCTAATAACGATATTCAAACAGACTATGATTTTGATTCAAGAGCAAAATTTTGTTTCCAAATGGAATAATTATTGCATCAATAATGTCTGTAACTAGTTCTCCATCTGCTTGTTAATCATAAATGTTTAAAGGAGATCCATCTTCAATCTTTCCTAATTTATCTAATTTTCCCAGATTTGTTCTCCTTTACTTATTATCATATGTAAACCATTATTTGAGGGATGAATCTACCACTAAGTTAGATTCATCAGATGATAATGTTAAGTGATGAGTAAACATTACCTGCATTTTATTGCCGATGTTAAAGTAATAAATTGAAGATTTGTGTTCAGGTGTGTTTCCAAATAAAATCAATCCTGATGAATCTGAAGTGAAAAAGATCTATTTCAATGAAATAATTCCTTGAGATTCTTTGCCGAATTCCATTTGAAGAGATGAAAGCAATTTAGCTTAATTCCATTCAGATATTTCATGCTGGCTATCTCTTATTATATTAAACTGTTGAAAAGATATTTTGACTGAGTTAATAATAGTAACCGTTTTAGTTTAAATCAAATCTGTGACATTCGCAAAGAATTCTTCTAAAATATTTTACCTTAAAGATGTCATCAAAATTCTCTTATCCTATAATCGCTCTTTTTAAAAGTTTTATATCTTTTGACTTAGTTGTTTAATAAACTCAACAAAAGCTTTATCTTAATGTTTGTGAATGTTGATTCTCCTATCTTAAATTTTATTGTCAGTGTAAAATTATTCAAGAATATTCCATTAAATGTTATCGTATCGAGGAATATAGTAAGAGTATTAAAGATTTTATATTTGATAACTTGAGCATAACAGAGAGCATTCAAGATTAATTATTTGATCATTTGCTTAGACTTTTTAATTGGTAAATAATCCAAATAAACTAGAAACAAAACCTTTTTTCTCAGACAGCTAAACTTGATTCTATTCTTTATCTTCTTTATTCATTCTAAGATTTTCTTAAATTTGTTTGATTACTAACTAAAAATGTTTGCAAGAAATTGATCCAATGCTGTCATAGAACTCTTTGTAAAAAGGCATTACAAGTTTATTGAAATCTGAATTGAAATTTTGATTTAATTGAAGACTTTCTGATGTAAATCTATCCTAGGCTTTTTTAATTAATTCGTTAACCTAATCTTTATTTTATGCATTAACAAATCCTGAAAGAAGAATTTTAAGATTTTGCTCAAGCTCTCTTTTGAATTAAACATTTTATGATTAAAATCTACTCGGGTCCTACGGCCACGAGAGTAGTACATTTTCCTTTATTTAGTTATAATTGTATAAACTTTTTGAGTATGAATTGTACTTTTTACCTTCAATAAAGTTGACAAAATGTGAAAATTAGAAGTACTTTTCCACTTATCTTGAATTAAAAATTGGCATAGCAATAAACTTAGAATTATCCGGATAGCAACAGAAATTTTAGTCTGAGTAGTCTATTTAATTTTTAGACCCACCATATTATATGGGTTTAAAAGCCATTTTCTCATCTGGCTTCACAATTACTTACTACATTTAAAACCCAAGATTTACATGTACTTCATATGGATTTCTCAAATCAGGGTTTAAGATGAGAGAACTAGGAGGCACGCAAACAATAGTTTCACAAGTATCTATCAATATTCTGATGTATGTTGAGAACAGATTATTGTTATCAACTTCATTGTCAAACTTGAATAGCTACGGATCAGTCTTTAAAATTAGGGCTAGTTTTTAAGGCTAGCTATCATTAATATTCTCCTAGTTATCTAATTTTACATTAAATTGCTTGTTCATTAAGAAAACTATACCCTCATCAAATTATTCCTATTAATAATCTTTGTCTTCAATACTATCTATGAAGTTAAGTGCTGCTTAGACACACAATTAAAAATCTCCATAAAATCCTACAACTCTAATTTTATTTGTTTTCATAATTGTGAACAAAAATTGTAGAGCTTCATTATTAGTTCTCATTTTAAACATTTTGTACTCTGAGCCCTAATCAATGCAACTCTCGAAAATCACATTTGAGGTTGGTATATTCTCTTAATTAGACTTTTTATCTTATAGAGCAAAAATTTGATCATGTAGATTTAACTAGTTTTGATTATTGTTGACTTATTGAGATTCTCGGCTTTATTTTTATTAAATTTCTTCATCATTGATGGAATCGTTCTAATTTTACACTTAATGAGTTTGTTGTACATTATATTTTATTTCTTCTTCAATCCCATTCTAGCTAGTATCATTGTTGGTATAGTTGCCATTATTATATCCATTATGTTTTGTTGAAGTATCGATTTAGAATGTTTCTGGTTCTTTTAGTTCAATTATTTAGGCTGCATTGTGATCATCATTCATTAAGGATGATTTCTCTTCTTCCTCATCATTATGGATTGACATTTCATTTTATTGCACAATAGAATTTTCTTGAGGTTGATATTGGCACGTCTATTCTTTATTAATCTGGCTAGATGAATGCTTATCATAATCCTCATCTTCGTAATCAAAAAGAGCAGTAAATATTTTAAAGGCTATGTCTTTTGTGAACCCAGCGTCTCCTAGTTATTTATTGCTGAAACTTCTTAATTAAGATGGTTCATTCACCCCATCTTTTTAGAGCTATTCAAGCACTTTTTTGGTAGTATTTTGGTCAAACCCACAATTTTAAAACAGAAATCTTAAAAGAGAACTGCTTTTCTGGCTTTAAGATGCTGGTGTTTAGATATCTTATTGCATTCGAAAATATTGATTTACTTTATCAAGAATTGTTGCTTAAATTCTCTAATTATTAAAATCACTTAATATAATTTTGATTCTTATCTTAGCTACAGATTATTCAAAATTTTATTTTTTCTTCTTTTCTCACGGGGTTTTGGGGTTTTGGGG